TTCTGAAAAAAAAATTCAGGGAACCTAGGACCACTCATAGGCGCAGTAAACTGTTTAGCTCTTTGGTGTTAAATCGAGTAAGAATGTCTCACCCTATTCCATATCATAGAATTGAATTTTGAATTAATAATAATATGGTATTTGTGCGAATTAAATAAATGTGCATAATTAATTACGGATTGCTAATGGAGTCAGAGTCGAAAAATTATTTTCTGTTGATTTATTTTACAGTCTAAATACATGATGGTATCTTATTTATTTATTTTATGGATTTGAAATGCATGTATGGTTTATTTTACGTGTTTACTGCTGAATTGAAAAAAAAAAAGTTTAAACAGTAAAAAAATTGTGTGATTAAATGATTAGATGAAACTGCAGCCTTACCAGATATTCTGAAAGATGGTAGACAGACATAGTATATAAGGAACCCTACCATGAACTCTCATACCGGACGGAGTATGGAGACTGAATACTTTGGCGCTCATACCGGACGGGGTATGGAGACAGCCCGCTTCACCCTCATATCGAATGTGGTATTGAGGTTTAATGTTTTGGCGCTCATACCGGACGGGGTATGGGAACGGTCCTATAATTGAGATTGTTAAAGGAAATGGTTCACGTGTAGCGGGGACATCCCTATGAACTCCCATGGATATTAGTAGGCTGGTGAAAAGAGAAATAGTTATAGTTTGATTTATTGTTAATGGATATGGATTTTTAATATGTGCTATGATTGCTGATTATATGTGAAAATCATGATCTGTATAATATTATTGTCTGTATAGATTGTTTTCATAAATTCCACTATGGTAAGTGAACGAGAAATGATTTTATGATTGAGAAATGAATTTACTAAATTTAATGCTCAATTAGTAGTTTTTCATTTTATACCAACTTTTACTTCTGTGTCGGTGATATAGTGCGATATCCTTACTGGGCTAGTGTAGCTCATCCTTTATTTAACCATTTCAGATCAAGAGGACCTAGTTTCAAAGCCCGATCCACAAGAAGATTGCGAATAGATACTAGATATTTTCTATTTTTCATTTGTTTATTTATTTCTCGTGTTTTTTTCAAAGAACTAATTCTATAATGCTATTTAGTACTTTTAAATTATTATGTAAGGAATGTAAACATTAACCTTTTATTTAGCTTCCACACTTAAATTTATAATTTACTTCCTTTTGGATTTTCAGAGTCTTTACACAACCCATCTGCTTTTTAGAAGCAGGAAAAGCCAAAACGTTGTCGTTTTAGGAAACCCCAAAACGACACCGTTCCCAAAACGACGCCGTTTTGATATGTAGGAAAGAAAAGTATAAGCAGGTGAAACGACATCATTTTGAGAGCATCAAAATGATGCCGTTTTGGTCACAAAAAAAGGGCAACCAGAGGTGTGTATGCCTCTAATCGCCAAAGAAGAAGAGGAAGAAGAGACGTGTATGCCTCTTCCCTCCACCAAAGAAGGAGGAGGAAGGCCTATATGGGCTATCTCTCTGACAATAAAAATAGAGCGAAAGTGAGCCATGGAGTGGGAGAGTGGTGCGACGAGAGAGAAAAAGATCTTTGGAGAGAGAGAGATAGAGAGAGAGAGAGAAAGGAAATGGGAGTTGTGGTTGAAACCGACCTGCGTGAGGCGATCTATGATGGTTTGCGGCTCTCGCGACGAGCCAAGGAGTCTAAGCAGCTGACGATCTGCTCGATCAAAAACTAGAGAGAGAATCGTGCGACGGTGTGTATCTGAAGAAGAAAGAGATCCGTGGCAGTTGGCCGCGCGATTTTGCATATTCCTAGCATCTTCCAGTGCGATTTTGCCATGTACGTGCCGGATACGTGTGCGTGGAATATTTCACAGTGAATTCCGGTCGATTCACAATGGTCACGCGTGTGGTAGTGCGTGGCGATTTCGGTGACTGGTCTCGCGCGTCTATGTAAATCTCAATCCGCCTTTGTATTTTAATTATTTCCACTAGTATTCATCATTTAACCCACGTATTTTTATTTATAAACGAAGAAATTATCTAAACAGTAGGTAAGGGATTGGGTTAGTTTCATTCAGAGGCCCCCATGATTTTTATGGAACCTTGTTTTCGTTGAAATGACTTGTTTACAGACTTTACAAACTGTTCACTTTTTCCACCGTGAGTTCTGTGAACTTATCATATCCGCATGCGTACAATTGCATATGATCGAAAACCTGCATAATGTTCATATTGTTACTTGTATGTATATGCAGATTTCATGCATGCTAGTTATCGAGCTATAGGTATGTGTGACGCATATATATATATATATACATTTATAATTGTGGGTTGTGCTACGTGTGTGTGTATGAGTGAACAATTTGTATATGTCTTGTGTGAATATACAAATATATTTATGTTGTATGTGTTACGTGTTTATATACACTTATTTAAGTCAATAACTATACGTATAAAGTGTATATATTGTGCTTGTTGATGTATAATGTATATATAATATATAAATAGGTGCATGCCTGAGTAGGTCATCTGGTGGTGAATTTGATTAATAAGAGAATGATATAAGAATATTAAAAGATGAGAAAATATGTTTAACCGGTATCACCGAGGGGTATATGCATGTGTAGCCTTTTGACGTGTAATTGTAGTGAACCTTACTTGTGGACACGGCTTCAGTCAGACGTGGCAAAGCGATAAGAACTGTGAACTACATATTGTGTACTGCAAACTGTGAACTGAACTGTAATATATTCACGACGTAGAGGGGATCTTTATTGCCCTCGTTGATGCCGGCGGAAACGACATCGTGTGGTAAAACTATTTTTAATAAGATATAAAGTAAGAGAAAGAAATAGAAAGTCATGAGTAAAGTTTGCAATACTGAAATACTGAATTGATATCTACTGAACTGTTTACTGCTTAAATTGTGATACTGAATACTGAATTATACTATTTATAAAATTATTATACTCTGAGTTATGATACTGAAATAAGGAATTCTGAATGTTTACTGAATGAACTAATTTAGAAAATTTAGTGATTGAGTTTGTGTATGTCTTTGTTGTGAGCACTGTCTCTTTTTCTTATTGAGTCCGTGAAACTCACCCCAATCCATTTCCCCCAGTGCAGATTAGTCCAAATCAAGAGTAAGTTCAAGGTCGAAGGAAAACTTTAAAAAATCTTTAGTGACAGTAAGAGTTCGTCTTGTAAAGTTAGTTTAATTATATGATAGCAATGTAAGGTAAAGAATCTTGTAAGTCTTATGTTTTGTAATTCCGTATAGGGATGATTGAAACTTATATTTTCATTTATTACTACGTAAATTTATCATATTATATGTGTGGAGTAGTGCTCATTTCTCAACAAAGAAAACGGGTCGTTACACTTAAGAATATGTAATTAATTAGTAAAAATAGATAAAGAAATTTATTTATTTATCGTGAAATGTTATATTGATTTTCTATCATATTTAATGTTGGTCGACACGAGTACAATGTATATATATATGGCATTCATATTGAGTATCTATCCACATGTATTATTGAGTTTGCTATTATTACAACTGTAAATATGTTTGTCTGTCAGACGTGCAGCAAATAATACGAGGGCTCTTCAAATTGGGGTTGGGTATGGGGCTAATGATAAGGTCACGAAAGGAAGTGGTGAAGAAAGCAGAAAGAGGTCAGCGCAATACCTCCATGAAGCTCAATCAAATAGCACAGATGGCTTTGGCAAAACCCTAACATTAGTTGCTGCACCAACCTCCATGGTATAAGAACGGGAAAAGGGAAAGCTGGTGGTGATCATGATCATGTTGATTTGAAATTCTCTCTAGGCACAAAATCTAAAAGACCATTAAGAGAAAGTTCGAGAAGAAATCGGTATTATTTTAACAATCGCGAGCAAGAAATGGATCGCTATTTATCTCTAGGTTTGTCTCCAATGTAGCTCTACAAATACACACACACAAAGTAACACACATATATATCATCTCCAGCATGCTAGGGGAGTTAAAGTTGATATACGTATATCTGCAGACAAGCTAGTATATTGATGGTGGGAGTTGAACAGTAGTATATATACTTATATATATATATTACATGGCTATGAGTAATTTTGATAATTTTAGTGTGGTGTCTTCTTTCTTGTTTTTGATTATCTTGCAAATAAAGTAGAAGAAGGTGTTGTAATAATTTTTTTGGGATTCATATCTCTGACATATATTTTTAATTATATTTAATTTGTATGATCTTCCCTAATGTTTATTAATTAATTAGATTTTATTTATGAAGTTAATCTAACTAAAAAAGAAACAATAGGAGCTGTCCTAATAATTTTAAATTAATTCAAAAATAAATATGATAAAAATAATAAATTCATAAAAATATTTACAACCACCACCATAAAAAAAAGTTGATTAATCGATAAGTCAATCACCCTAAAACTGAGGTATATCAAACCTGGAAGTATTTCTTATCTTTATTGCTATTGTTAATTCTGGAACCAGACACAAAAATATTATTAAGAGGTAAATGTTCTATAGATCAAATATAGATTTTGATTCACCAAGCAAACCGAACCCGAACTATAAAAATTTCAAATAATTAAACTAGTTTCATTACTGATTAATATAAATTATTTATGGTAACTGAAAATATTAGATGAGACTCTTAATCTTTTATTTCTTAATATGCAGTTTTAGGTTTGCACTTTTACTTGATTTGGGAAGCGTCAACTTGTTGATGAATCGCTATACAACCACAATCCTTACGAACTAATTTTTTTTTTTAATGAAAATTCATATAAAAAATTCAACTCTCAAAAATATCATCAATAGCCACCAAATATTAAATCTTTAATTATATACATTTGCCTTTGTAATTTTGGTTCTCCAGTTGTAATATATATATATATATATATATATATATAACAGTATTCCTAAATGATTAATATATTTAAGAGGCTCTTATCGTATCATAGAAGAAATATTAATTATAATAAAATTGTTCTTGTGAGTGTTTAGTTTTTCTTTTTGAAATCTTTCAATATTTCTTCAATTCCACCAAAACTTTTGTCATCCAAATTGAATTCAGAAAGCCAAAATTGATCAGTTGAACTTTGATTTCCCTTATCTTGAGCCTCATGTTCATCATTTGATCTTATAGTTGTCATTCTCTTATATCCAAATTCATTTTCCCTTATCATATTCCCAAACTCTTTTGATCCAAATTGATGCTGCATGTCTAAAAAGTTTATGTTCTGTTGCCCAAAGTCATCCACAAAACTCATGCTCCCTAATCCATATTCTTCGAAATAACTTGTATTTTCCATGCCTAAGCCATTTTGATTATTAAAGAGCTTATTACCCATGCTGTTGAACTCATCGTCATTGTTCAACGTTATATTTTTCTTAGCATTTGACTTGCTCTTGTCATTAAAACTTCCTTCAGCTATTATGTTGTTCGATCCACTGCCAGCCCTCATACTAGCTGCTATTATGTTGTTCTGCTTTTTACTCATGTTTACGCTCCCACTTTCAATAGAGCTCAACCCATCTTTACCACAGAAGTTAACATAAAAAACTTTATTGAATGCCCCATAATCATCTATTAATCTCATGTCCACCATGTCTTCAAATCCAAATTGATTGTTTAATCCACTGTCTATCATCTTAATACTTGATCCAAATTCATCAGTGAGACTTCCCATAGACGGATTGTCAATGCTTAAGTTTCTCATTTCACTGAAGTTCATACCAGACTGATTATTCATACCCAAGGTTTCCATGTTTGATCCACAAGGGATGCTCCAAAAATTAACTCTTGGCTGATTCTCGAAACCCATCAAATAATTTCCAGTGTTGTCTGAACCAAAGAAATCACTAAAAGCAATTCCCAATTGATCGTCGAAGCTCATATTCGTCGATCTACATGCGTCATTGGAGCTTATCCCAGGTTGGTTGTTGTTGAAGCTTACATTAATATTGTTGTTTGACCCATACTCATATTTTTTATTAACCGTCATAAGATTAACCATATTATCTGGCTTAGATAATCGGTTCTTCATCATATTCAAATTTGCGGCATTGTTCAAGATAGACTGATCAAGATTCAAGCACGTATTATTAGGCATCTCTCCAATATTGACCTAGAAACCTATAGCCTTGTCCAAACAATTAGGCACAATCATTTCTTTTTGTTGATGATTCATCCAAACCTCATTCAGTCCATAATCATTTGTTGCAATCGTTTGCTGCATTCCATAGCCATTAACTTGGTTTGATATGTTGGACCCAATCATTTTTTGTTGACTCGCACTGTCTTGATTCAATCCAAAAATGTCAGGTCCAACTATTTGATGTTGTTGATTTATTTTGACGTGCTCCAACTGATCCAAAGCATGTCCAATTGTTCCTTCTTGTTGATTCATGCTGACCTGGTTTAATATGTCAGCATTGGGTCTAATAGTTTGTTGCTGCCAATTAAAATTTACCTGGCATGATTCACAAACATTAACTCTAGTAATTTAGCACTTTTAATAATTCAATTCATAAATATTGAATCTAATAATTTATTTTAACTGGTTCATGCTTACCTGTTGTAATTCCTCAATGTCTGGTCTAATAGTTTGTAGCTGGTTCTTGTTCACCTTGTTTAAGGATCCAATCTCTTGCTGCTGTTGGTTTAAATTGATCTGATTCGATTTGTAAACATTGGATCCAATCACTTGTTGTACGTTGGCTCCAATTGTTTGATGTTTTTTATTCCTGTTGACCTGGTGCAACTCGCCAACATTGGGTCCAATCATCTGCTGTTCATTTTTGTTAAGGTCGTCTAAACCATAAATATTGGGTCCAACCAGTTGTTGTGGTTGATTCATGCTGACATTGTTCGATCTGTAAGTGCCGGATCCAATCATTAGTTATTGTTGGTGCATGTCAACTTGATTTAATTTATCAATACCATCAGCTCTGCTATTTGCTTTAGTTGTACTTGCAATGACTTATGCCAGTTATATTTTTTATTTTATAAAAATAAGAGCTATTATGTACATGTGATATAAGTATTACGCTATATAAGAATGATGTATATTTTTTTACCATAAATTTATACGAGTAATTTTTGCTATTGATTATTTTTTATTTTTCTTAACAAGTTGTTTATCTAAGAAAAGTTGTTTCACCAAAAATATTTTAGTATATTCTTGAATTATTTAAGTTTTTTCATCATAAACAACAACGACACTATCAAAAAGAGTTTTTTTATTTAAAACAAGAATGGTTATGTAAAAAGCAAAATTATACATTATAGGAAAAAATGCACTCATCATACGCATATACACAATTATGTAAATATTTGCATGAATGAATGCATGGACGTGTAAACCAAAGCTTACAATACGATAACGCTATCAATAAATACTATAAAACTAAGATTCCTATTGTGTTTAATTACTTGCAATTCTAGTATTTTTTTTTAGTTATATTTTGACTTAAATATAATTCATTCTTTTAGGACAAATATAATAAAATGTATATGTGATAAATATTATCTTTAAATAAAGAATAAATATAATTCTCCTTCGGAAGGACAAAACCAAAAATAATATTTAATTTAGAGGAAAATATCTAACATTTAAGATATTACTCTTCATACGTAAATTCAAAATTAAAAAGTTTGAAATTTTAATTTTACCTTGGCTTAGATTCATGTGAGATGTTTGTTCACATCCTGTAGAGAGAAGATTTAAGCTGCTCGGGTTCCTCATTTGCCCTCCTAATAATTTATTTTCTACAATGGCTTCTCTTTGCATATGTATTTGTCTGACAAGGTGATTATTATACACTTGTCTGAGATGATTTACCTCACTTTGCATTTCTTCAATTTTTTCTGTTAACATACGTTTTTTTTTATTATTATTGTTCTAAACTTATGTATGTGTATGTATGCAAATAATTGTTGTATATTTTAATGGTATTTAAATATTTATCTGGTATCATCATGTCGTTTATTTTATTATATAAAAAAAAAATTCACTTATGCGAGTACAGATAGGTGAATGTATATAAAAGTGCATAATTCGTAAAATATGAAATATATACATATATATACATATACGTCTTGATGAAGACATAACATGTATAGGATGGCGGAAAGAGAGAAAACTTACCAAACTGAACCGTGGAGTTGTTTCTAATTGTAGTTGACATGTTTATCGAGCTAGTGTTCTTCACCATTTGCAAAACACTTTCTTTTCCTTGAGAGCTTTCAACTTGTGGAGTCATCTGCCTCAACATATGTGAGAAATAAGTGATAACAGATATGTGTTTTCATGTGTATTAACATTATCTGGTTGTTATTGACATATACTAATTAAGAAAAATAAATTAATATATATGTAATTGTATTTTCTTTTCCATAAATACTTAAGCTTTTTCATATATGAAGAAAATTGAACCTTTTTTTGTTTAGATCTTTGTCCACGATGCAGCTCACTTGATGAAATCCTATAAGCAAAAAAAAAAATATAATTACATAGTATTAATGCTTTAATTATATATTTATAAAAAAATTTGAATTGCACAAAATTAATATAAGAATACGAAAAATTATAAAATGGTGATTATTTACCTCTTGTTCCTCCTTGGATTCATGTTAATATTTGAGTTACTAGCCAAAGGCTCAAAATTTTCAAAATTCTTGCCACAACAACCATTACCATCATCACCAACCTCATTAATATTTCCATCAAATGATAACGGTTGAGAGAAACCACCTGCGTTGACCTGGTTACCAATAGTACTAATGATATTTGCATCAGATGACTGAGAAGTAGGGTTAGTCTTACTGCTATTACTTTCCTTAGCAGTAGATCCATCAATTTCCAAATTAAATTTTTCTTGTTTCCATATTTTGAAAGTATTTGGGGCTAAAGTAAGAGTAGTCGGTGTTAATGTAGTAGTTACAAACTTTTCAGGCCAATAAAAATTCAATGAGTTTCTCTTTTTAGCATCCTTCTCGTTATTTTTCTCTATTGATTCTTCCTTATCCATCGCCTACAAATAACCACAGACATAAATAAAATAATCAAATCAAAACAAAACCTTAAAATTCAAACAAATGAGTTGGGAACTTACAAAGGAAATAGAATTTGGAATAGGCAAACTAACCTTAAGAAGATTGTAGAGCTTTTCTGGAGATGAACAAGGTACTTGTATCCTTTTATTTGTATGGACAAAAATAATTTTTTTACCATATAAATTCTAACTAGTTGACAAACTATTAATGATCATTCAAGTGGATTCCATTTTTAGAGATAAGATATTTGTTAAAAAAATTGAGCAAATAATTTTTATTTTTGGTTAAAGTGTAATGACAGAAGTAAAGATACCATAGTGCTCATTGAAAATTAAATAGAGATGTGGGTCAATGTTGTTTTATGGGGACAATTTCCTAGATTGATGAAGTTCATTGCATGTTGGAGTTTGAATTTCTCTTCTTTTTGTTTGTGGTTGTATGCATGTATGAAGCTTATATATATGGTAATTAATTTTAAACTTCACCCAGTTAAGTTCTGCACAGCTGGTATTCATGTCATGCCACATATACATCATATGTATTAATGTAGATACATGTTCTTATAAAGTTCTTCTTAATTCTTAAATTATGAAAGTGAAAAAAAGAGCAAAAAGAAGGATGTTATTCATTACCGTATTGTGCATGAATTTAATCAAAATTTATTCACTCTAATTAAAAACTAAATCATATTTATATTAGAAATACACATATCATAAAGTATGTAAAAACACATCCTGTATATTTTTATTTATTTATTATATATGAACGGTAATATAGATAATATTTTGTATTTGATAAATGTTTCTGATTCTCATTATCATGATGGATATTGAAAATTTGAATTATTAAAATATTATTTTATTTTATTTGTATAGTTAATTTTATTTTAAGATATTGTAGATTAAAATTTAATAAATAATTAAAATTTTAAATTATAATTATTAAAATCTAAAATATATGAGATATCAAAAAATTATTTACAGATAATATCCTAACTTAATTCCTACTTGCAATACAAATTTAAATCATATAGTTTGAAAGTTATCTTCAATATCTCCTATTTGCTTTTGGTTTGAAAGTTATCTTCAATACAGTTTGTCTGTTAATATATATATATATATATCTAAGTAACTTATTTCTAATGGTTGACCGATATATTACAAACTTTATGAGAAAGACAAACACAACACTTAGACATGATAATAAAATATTAGAAAAATATAAAAAAGAGTCATAAATCTATAGATAATACACAAGAACAAAGGAAAACATTAACAATAAAATTGTTCTTGTGAGTGTTTAGTTTTTCTTTTTGAAATCCTTCAATATTTCTTCAATTCCACCAAAACTTGATTGATTGTCATCCAAATTGAATTCAGAAAGCCAAAATTGATCAGTTGAACTTTGATTTCCCTTATCTTGAGCCTCATGTTAATCATTTGATCTCATAGTTGTCATTCTCTCATATCCAGATTCATTTTCCCTTATCATATTCCCAAACTCTTTTGATCCAAATTGATGCTGCATGTCTAAAAAGTTTATGTTCTGTTGCCCAAAGTCATCCTCAAAACTCATGCTCCCTAATCCATATTCTTCGAGATAACTTGTATTTTCCATGCCTAAGCCATTTTGATTATTAAAGAGCTTATTTCCCATGCTGTTGAACTCATCGTCATTGTTCAATGTCATATTTTTCTTAGCATTTGACTTGCTCTTGTCATTAAAACTTCCTTCAGCTATTATGTTGTTCGATCCGCTGCCAGCCCTCATACTAGCTGCCATCATGTTGTTCTGCTTTTTACTCATGTTTACGCTACCACTTTCAATACAGCTCAACCCATCTTTACCACAGAAGTTAACATCAAAAACTTTATTGAATGCCCCATAATCATCTATTAATCCCAGGTCCACCACGTCTTCAAATCCAAATTGATTGTTTAATCCACTGTCTATCATCTTAATGCTTGATCCAAATTCATCAGTGAGACTTCCCATAGACGGATTGTCAATGCTTAAGTTTCTCATTTCACTGAAGTTCATACCAGACTGATTATTCATACCCAAGGTTTCCATGTTTGATCCACAAGGGGTGCTCCAAAAATTAACTCTTGGCTGATTCTCGAAACCCATCAAATAATTTTCAGTGTTGTCTGAACCAAAGAAATCACTAAAAGCAATTCCCAATTGATCGTCGAAGCTCATATTCGTCGATCTACATGCGTCATTGGAGCTTATCCCAGGTTGGTTGTTGTTGAAGCTTACATTAATATTGTTGTTTGACCCATACTCATATTTTTTATTCACCGTCATAAGATTAACCATATTATCTGGCTTAGATAATCGGTTCCTCATCATATTCAAATTTGCGGCATTGTTCAAGATAGACTGATCAAGATTCAAGCACGTATTATTTGGCATCTCTCCAATATTTACCTGCAAACCTATAGCCTTGTCCAAACAATTAGGCACAATCATTTCTTTTTGTTGCTGATTCATCCAAACCTCATTCAGTCCATAATCATTTGTTGCAATCGTTTGCTGCATTCCATAGCCATTAACTTGGTTTGATATGTTGGACCCAATCATTTTTTGTTGACTCGCACTGTCTTGATTCAATCCAAAAATGTCAGGTCCAACTATTTGATGTTGTTGATTTATTTTGAAGTGCTCCAACTGATCCAAAGCATGTCCAATTGTTCCTTCTTGTTGATTCATGCTGACCTGGTTTAATATGTCAGCACTGGGTCTAATAGTTTGTTGCTGCCAATTAAAATTTACCTGGCATGATTCACAAACATTAACTCTAGTAATTTAGCACTTTTAATAATTCAATTCATAAATATTGAATCTAATAATTTATTTTTCCTGATTCATGCTTACCTCTTGCACTTCCTCAATGTCTGGTCTAATAGTTTGCCGCTGGTTCTTGTTCACCTGGTTTAAGGATCCAATCTCTTGCTGCTGTTGGTTTAATTTGATCTGATTCGATTTGTAAACATTGGATCCAATCACTTGTTGTACGTTGGCTCCAATTGTTTGATGTTTTTTATTCCTGTTGACCTGGTGCAACTCGCCAACATTGGGTCCAATCATCTGCTGTTCATTTTTGTTAAGGTCTTCTAAACCATAAATATTGGTTCCAACCAGTTGTTGTGGTTGATTCATGCTGACATGGTTCGATCTGTAAGTGTCAGATCCAATCATTAGTTGTTGTTGGTGCATGTCAACTTGATTTAATTTATCAATGCCATGAGCTCTGCTATTTGCTTTAGTTGTACCTGCAATGACTTATGCCAGTTATATTTTTTATTTTATAAAAATAAGAGCTATTATGTACATATGATATAAGTATTACGCTATATAAGAATGATGTATATTTTTTTACCATAAATTTATACGAGTAATGTTTGCTATTGATTATTTTTTATTTTTCTTAACAAGTTGTTTATCTAAGAAAAATTGTTTCACCAAAAATATTTTAGTACATTCTTGAATTATTTAAGTTTTTTCATCATAAACAACAACGACACTATCAAATAGAGTTTTTTTCTTAAAACAAGAATGATTATGTAAAAAGCAGAATTATACATTATAGGAAAAAATGCATTCGTCATATGCATATACACAATTATGTAAATATTTGCATGAATGAATGCATGGACGTGTAAACCAAAGCTTATAATACGATAACGCTATCAATAAATACTATAAAACTAAGATTCCTATTGTGTTTAATTACTTGCAATTCTAGTATTTTTCTTTAATTATATTTTGACTTAAATATAATTCCTTCTTTTAGGACAAGTATAATAAAATATATATGTGGTAAATATTATCTTTAAATAAAGAATAAATATAATTCTCCTTTGAAAGGAAAAAAACTAAAAGTATCTAACATTTAAGATGTTACTCTTCATACATAAATTCAAAATTAAAAAGTTTGAGATTTTAACTTTACCTTGGCTTGGATTCATGTGAGATGTTTGTTCACATCCTTTAGGGAGAAGATTTAAGCCGCTCGAGTTCCCCATTTGCCCTCTTAATAATTTATTTTCCACCATGGCTTGTCTTTGCATATGTGTTTGTCTGATAAGGTGATTATTATAGACTTGTCTGAGATGATTCACCTCACTTTGTCTCTCTTCAATTTTACCTGTTAAAATACATTTTTTTTATTATTTTTCTAAACTTATGTATGTGTATGTATGCAAGTGATTGTTGTATATTTTAGTGGTATTTAAAAACTTATACAGTATCGTCATATAGTTTATCTTATTGTATAAAAAAAAATTACTTATGCGAGTACAGATAGGTGAATGTATATATAAGTGCATATTTCGTAAAATATCAAAAAATATATGTACATATACATCTTGATGAAGACATGACATGCATAGGATGGCGGAATGAGAGAAAACTTACCAAACTGAGCTGTGGAGTTGTTTCTAGCTGTAGTTGACATGTTTACCGAGCTAGTGTTCTTCTCCATTTGCAAAGCACTTTCTTTTCCTCGAGAGCTTTCAACTTGTGGAGTCATCTGCCTCAATATACATGACAAATATGTGATAACATATATGTATTTTCATGTGTATTAACATTATGTGGTTGTTATTGACATATATTAATTAATATATATATAATTGTATTTTCTTTTCCATAAATACTTAAGCTTTTCCATATATGAAGAAAATTGAACCTTTTTTTGTTTAGATCTTTGTTCAGGATGCAGCTCACTTGATGAAATCCTATAAGCAAAAAAAGAAGTATAACTATATATTATTAATGCTTTAATTATATATTTATTAAAAAAATTTAAGTTGCACAAAATTAATATAACAATATGAAAAATTATAAAATGGTGATTATTTACCTCTTGTTCCTCCTTGGATTCATGTTAATATTTGAGTTACTAGCCAAAGGCTCAAAAATTTCAAAATTCTTGCCACAACAACGATTACCATCATCACCAACCTCATTAATGTTTCCATCAAATGAAAACGGTTGAGAGAAACCACCTGCGTTGACTTGGTTACCAACAGTACTAATGATATTTGCATCAGATGATTGAGAAGTAGGGTTAGTCTTGCTGCTATTACTTTCCTTAGCAATAGATCCATAGCTTTCCAAATTAAATTTTTCTTGTTTCCATATTTTGAATGTATTTGGGGCTAAAGTAAGAGTAGTCGGTGTTAATGTAGTAGTTACAAACTTTTCAGGCCAATAAAAATTCAATGAGTTTCTCTTATTAGGATCCTTCTCGTTATTTTTCTCCATTGATTCTTCCTTATCCATCACCTATAAATAACCACATACAGAAAGAAAATAATCAAATCAAAACAAACCTTAAAATTCAAATAAATGAGTTGGAAACTTACAAAGGAAATAGAATTTGGAATAGGCAAACTAACCTTAAGAAGATTGTAGAGCTTTTCTGGAGATGAACAAGGTACTTGTATCCTTTTTTTAATATGGACAAATATAATTTTTTTAGCAGATAAATTCTAACTAGTTGACAAATTATTAATGACCATTTAAGTGGATTCTATTTTTAGATATAAGATGTTTGTTAAAAAAATTAAGTAATTAATTTTTATTTTTGGTTGAAGTGTAATGACAGAAGTAAAGATACCAAAGTGCCCATCGAAAATTAAATAGAGATGTGGGTCAATGTTGTTTTATGGGGACAATTTCCTAAATTGATGAAGTTCGTTGCACATTGGAGTTTGAATTTCTCTTCTTTTTGTTTGTGGTTATATGCATGCATGAAGCTTATATATATGGTAATTAATTTTAAACTTCACCCAATTAAGTTCTACACAGCTGTTATTCATGTCATGCCACGTACACATCATATGTATTAATGTAGATATATGTTCTTTAAAGTTTTTCTTAATTGTGAAATTATGAAAGTGAAAAAAGAACAAAAAGAAGGATATTATTCATTACTATATATGGTAATTACGAAATACAAAATATTATCTACATTACAGTTCATATATAATAAATAAATAAATAAAAGTGTACATGATGTGTCTCAATATACTTTATGATATGTGTATTTTTAATGTAAGTATGATTTAGCTTTCAATTAGAGTGAATAAATTTTGATTAAATTTAAGCACAATATGGTAATGAATAATATCCTTCTTTTTGTTCTTTTTTCACTTTCATAATTTTACAATTAAGAAGAACTTTAAAGAACATATATATACATTAATACATATGATGTATATGCGGCATGACATGAATGATAGCAGTGTAAAACTTAATTGGGTGAAGTTTAAAATTAATTACCATATATATAAGCTTCATACATGCATATAACCACAGACAAAAAGAAAAGAAATTCAAACTCCAATGTGCAATGAACTTCATAAATTTAGGAAATTATCATTATACTTCAACTAAAAATGAAAATTACTTAATTTTTTAACAAACATCCAATTAAGTTCTACGCAGCTGTCATTATATCATGCTATATATACATCATACGTATTAATGTAGATACATGTTCTTATGAAGTTTTTCTTGATTGTGAAACTATAAAAATAAAAAAGGATGTCAGTACTATTTTTAGAATTACTCTGGTAATTAAGTTAATTACGTTATTTAATAGAGAAAAAAATTGAAATAAGAATAAAGATTCAAATTTATGATAGAACAATGCATTAACCATGGAAGGTAGAAGCTGGATACAATTCCAAATATTTTATATATCATTCTTTTTTTAGAAAATGACTAAATCTACATATATGTATAGATACATTTCTTTAATTGGATTATATTTCCCCAAAATACATACATATATATATACACACACACATATATAGAAATAACTCCTAAGCAGCTGTTGCAGACTATGAATATCCTAAAACTTAATATTACTCAACTGAAGAGCCATTGAAAGGAAATTTTTTTTTCTAAAAGAGATCTACAAATATAATTATATAAGATATATTACTATCGTCATATGTGTATATATATTATTTATGAACGTACAATGTTTTAATTTTAGTTTATCTTCCTTTGAAAATATATTTTGTAGGGTGAAAACAGATATATCGAGCAAAGAAAATTAAAGAGCGAGAGCGAGGTGAAGATCAAATTTGCAGTATATATTCAATTTGATTAAACTATATAGATATAATAATTAGTAAAAAATGTGATTTTAATTATTTAAATTCGATTGTAATGAATAGTACCCAACAAGTCAATATTTAAATTTCAGTTACTGAAACTACCCTGCTACCACAGACAAAACGAAAATAATTACATTATTCCTCTCTAAATTTAAAGTATTATATCATAATCATTATTAATAAATAAATATTATTATATTTTATAAATTAATATTTATGCTTAATTTTTTATTATTATCTATTTTATTAAATATTCTTTTTATTTTATGTCATTTTAAATATATATTCTTAATATTTAAAATTCATTATTTTCACTGGTCAAAAGGCTTAAGAGGGATAATTAATCAGTAAAAAAAAGACAAAAAATATATTTTTTATTTATTTTTCGTGAAATATTATGATGATTTTCTGTCATCTTTAATGATAGTTGACACATTTAGTGTTTATACGTGTATATATACATATGGCATTCATATTAAGCATATATATATATATATATGTATTAATGACTTTCCAAATTGGCGATGGGTCGGGGGCTAATAATAAGGTCGGCAAAGGAAGTGGTGAAGAAAGCAGAAAGAGGTCAGTGCAAGACCTCCATGAAGATCAATCAACTAGCACAGATGGCTTTGGCAAAACCCTAAAATTAGCTGCTGAACCAACCTCCACGGCTAAAAGAAAGGGAAAGCTGGTAAATATCATGGTCATGTTGATTTGAAACTCTCTCTAGGCATAATATCGAAAGTTCCATCGGGAGAAAGTTCAAGAAAAGCTCGGTATTATCTCAACAATCGTGAACAAGAAATGGGTCGCTATTTATCTCTCACTTTGTCAACAATGTTGCTCTACAAATGCACATATCATCTCCAACGGTGTTAAAGATGATATATACTTTATCTGCAGACAAGCTAGTATATTGATGGTGGGAGTTGAACAGTAGTATATATATACTTATATATATATATTACATAACTATGAGTAATTTTGATAATTTTAGTGTAGTATCTTCTTTTTTGTTTTTGATTATCTTGCAAATAAAGTAGAAGAAGGTTTTGTAATAATTTTTTTGGGATTCATATCTCTGATATAAATTCTTAATTATACCTAATTTGTATCATCTTCCTTAATGGTTATTAATTAATTAGATTTTATTATGAAATAAATCTAATAAAAAAAATAATACGAACTGTCCTAATAATTTTAAATTAATTCAAAAATAAATACGATAAAAATAATAAATTCATAAAAGCATTTACAACAACCACTACAGAAAAGCTGATTAATCGACCAGTTAACCATCATAAAACTGAAGCTATTAGAGTTTTGGATGCGCAAACTACCCATCTTCACCGCTAAAGAGTTGTTTATTTTGTTATTATTTTTCTTCCTACTAACACACATAAAGTTCAAATTTCCAAGCTCTTGCTTCAAATTTTTTATTACGTTTCCATGCCATTCATTACCCATGGAAATAAATTGTTCACCATCCAAGAAATTGCCATTACCGAGTCATTTCTAACTAAAAATGTCTCTATAAGTTCAACATGATTATTTACAAGTATCGGTAGAGCTTCTTTTGTTGCCAATAGTTCTGCATGATTAAAGTTTAGTAAACAACAACTTTTTGAAAGAAAAAAATATTTAATATTATCAAGCCGGTCTCTCAAACCTTCAGGTGCTTGTTCTTTTTCTTGCCACTGTTAATTCTGGAACGGATGCGAAAATATTATTAAGAGGCAAATGCTCTATAGATGATATATAGGTTTTGATTCACCAAACAAACTGAGAACTATAGAACCTCCAAATTATTGAACTGGTTTTAATACTAATCAATACAAAGTATTTATAGCAATTTAAGATGAGACTTTTGATCTCTTATTCCTTAATCCTTTTTTGAAAAATCTTATAAAAGATTCAACTTTTAAAAGTATTTTCAGTCGCTACAAAATTCTTAATGGTTACAATAAAATATATTATTTTTGTATGTACGAAACAGAACAGTATAATATATATATATATATATATTTAAAAAAATAAATGAAACAATAGGTTTCGGGGTGTCTAACAAGATAAACACTAAAATCGAAACATGGCACAACAACAATTATAAATTGAGCTGGTGGAACCTCTCCAAGAAATCGAAGAAACAAAGCTTTTTGCAGAGCAACGTTTTGAAGAAAAGTCCTGTGAGCTCACTTTCCATTTAACGAACAAGAAAAGTCGGACTTGTGAAAGTCACATCTTTTACTAATATACACGGGCTTTTGAGAGGATTCTTTAATCAACCAAAACCTGCAACAGAATCCAACATCTCTAACACTTACAAGTTGAGAGATGTTCAATTCTTAATGCAAAAGAAGTATGCTAGCTGGAAGGACTTTTCCAAGATACTCTTCACTTGGACAGGAGAAGCAGCGCGCTTAGCGACAGGAAGATACCTCTATATGGGTGTGCTATAAAAGCGGAGAAGAAAAGAACTAAATGGATCAAATCCTTTGATCGGTCATTTCGAGCTTCAAGTTTTTGTAGATTGCTAACATGGTTCGATGATGCCGATGGAAGGAGCCACATGAGATTCATCCAACTTCCATCTCTTAAAGGCAAAAAATATAAAAGATACTTTTACGTAAGCTCATGGGTTTACCTTTTATAATAGATTTGTCTTCAGTTATTATTGCGAACATTAAGTCCTATAATAGACCCTATGAGAAAGACTAACACAATACTTAGACATGATAATAAAATATTAGAAAAATATAAAAAAGAGTCATAAATCTAGAGACAATACACGAGAACAAAGGAGTCATTAACAATAAAATTGTTCTTGTGAGTGTTTAGTTTTTCTTTTTGAAATCCTTCAATATTTCTTCAATTCCACCAAAACTTGATTGATTGTCATCCAAATTGAATTCAGAAAGCCAGAATTGATCAGTTGAACTTTGATTTCCCTTATCTTGAGCCTCATGTTCATCATTTGATCTCATAGTTGTCATTTTCCATTATCATATTTCCAAACTCTTCTGATCCAAATTGATGCTGCATGTCTAAGAAGTTCATGTTCTGTTGCCTAAAGTCATCCTCAAAACTCATGCTCCCTAATCTATATTCTTCGAGATAACTTGTATTTTCCATGCCTCAGCCATTTTGATTATTAAA